GGCCCAAGCCAGATCAACCAGGTGGTGAGTCACCCAAACCAGCCCCTCACCATTACTGCCCACGATGACAGGGGCATCCGCTTCCTGGACAATCGGACAGGTGAGGCCCCAGTCCTGGCTGTGCTACCGGCAGGAGAAATGTGGTATCCACAGAGGCTCTCAGAGCTTCTTCCAAGCCCCCTCACTTTCCTGGGAAGGAGACCTGCCACCACCCTCTGTCCTTCAGGTAAATCGGTGCACTCCATGGTCGCCCACCTGGATGCAGTCACCTGCCTGGCCGTGGACCCCAATGGTGTGTTCCTGATGTCAGGAAGTAAGTTCATCTCTTTTGGTGGTCACTTCTCCCCAGGGTGAGAAGAAGGGGACAGGGAAGAGAGCTGGGCCTTGGGCATGGACACATACTCCAGGAGTTCCTTGGGGCTGGGGCTGAGCGGGGCAGGAGCAGTGGTGGTCATAGCAGTGGTTACAGCACCTCGTTCCTCTTCTGAGTAGCTCTGCATGGGGAGTGGTTTATCCCCACTGCACAAATAGGATGTGAGGCTCCAGAGTGTCAGGGCCTGGTCGTAGCACTGTGTGTTTTAAGACAGGCTGCCCCATGGGGACTTGTGCTATGGATAGGGGCAGGTGTCCAGGCTGTCTTGGAAAGGCGGCTGAACTTGGCTTAAGCGTGAGGCTTGTACCCCTCCATACACTGCCTCTTAGTGTCAGACCTCCTTGAGACCTGTGGCAGTGGCAGTGACATGTGAATGTGGATCATGTGTGATGGGGTGGGAGTATGGTGGCAGAGGCCATGGGTGGCTTGGTAGCTGAACAGCCCAGCCCAAGGGCTTGTTCTGTCTAGCAACTGGGTTACAGCAGTAGCTGTCTCTACAGAGGGTGTGAGGGGACCATCCGAGAAACCAAGCCTGGTGCCAGGAAGCCAACCAAGGAGGGCTCAGTTTAGGCATTGTAACCTCTGAGGTGGGAGCCAGAGCCCTCATGCCAGCCTGTGCCTTAACCAGCCAAGCCCCAGAGCCTGAACCAGGTGATCAGTGAGCACCATGATCACCAACGTGTGAACCACCCCAGACCCTCCCTTTTTTATGTAGTGCTAAGGATGGACCCCAGGCCTTGAGCTGCCAAGCAAGTGCTGTGCCCTGAGCCACATTGTGTCCCTGCTGGGTGTTTCCTTGTTCCCTTTCTCATGCTTCAGCATCCACAGAGCCAGGAGAGTCTCCTGTTTTGTTTAGTGCCCTTCCAGAGCCTCATATGCAGCAGGTGCTCAGTAAATACTTGATGACTAGGCAGGTGGATGTTTGAAAGGGTTACAGAGACAGAAGGCTATCCTTTGGGCAGAGTGAAGGGAGGAAGAGGCCCAATTTTCACTGTCCCTGAGGTCTGGATGAAGCCAGTGAGGGGTTCAAGAACACATATGAGTGAGGACCTCAGTGACAAGTCCCCATCCCCTAGGCCATGACTGCTCCCTACGCCTTTGGAGCCTGGACAATAAGACTTGCGTACAGGAGATCACAGCCCACCGCAAGAAACATGAGGAGGCCATCCATGCTGTCGCCTGCCACCACAGCAAGGCCCTTATCGCCAGTGCTGGCGCTGACGCCCTGGCCAAGGTCTTCGTATGATGCCCACCTGGCCCCGCCCAGGCCACTACACTGGCTGAGGAGCAGGGCTGGGTGGGGGTGCTGAGGTGAGGGCCTGCGCTGCCTCCTGCCTGGCATTCAGGGGTGCCAAGCCCCATGGTCCTATGAGGATGGTCAGGATTGCCCTGGGTCCACAGAAGGAAGGCTGAACTTGAGGAGAGACCCCTAGGGTGGTGGGCCAGTCTCCTCCCTCTCCCACAGGTGAGGGCAGCCTCTCCACCTGCTGTGGAGCCTGGTGGTGCTAACTAAGGGCCCTGACCCGGGATTGGCCTCCTGCAGTTCTTGTCCCACATCCTGGCCTGGGATGGGCCCTGTAGGAATTGCTGCCGGGTCCTCAGACACCAGCTGCCCTCTCATGTGCAGCTCAGTAAGGGCCGGAGTCTTTGGGGATCAGTTTTTCCAAGATACAAGAAGGTGCCAGGTTCTCCCCTTGACCCCTACCCCTGCCTATGGGCACTGTGCTGGGAGGGTCCCCTGATAACCCTCCTCCCTGTGGCCGTGGGAGCCTGCCTGGCCCACTCCTTAGCCCCTCCACTCTTCCAGACACTAACCTCCAGGGTCAGGACTGTGCCCCCAGACCCAGGGTGCCCTTCCCTGAGGTACAGGGGTGAAGTGGGGACCCCATGTAGCTCCCTGTATATCTGTATAAATGGACAGGATTTTAATGATGCCCCTACCCATGTTATCACTGTGTGATAGTCTCTGTCTGTCTCTTGCTGGCTCCACATTTTGCCTCTATTTATTTCACTCTTCGTTTGGATTCTACCCTGTGCCCAACCCTTGATCCCCCTTCAGGTTCCTGTTTATAAAGCCACCCTCTGCCCTGAACTTGTACGTGAAAACTTGTCTCAATAAACCCTTTGGAGTAAGATGGTGCCCGTGCCATCCATTGAGGGGATGGGGACCTTTTGGGTGGAGTCAACTGCCTCTTAAGTTGGGTTGAGTTTGGGAAGGGATATGATAGGGGTGGGAGTGGCGCAGAGAAGGGCCCAGAGTTTGGGTGGGTGTGGGTGAAGAGGCGGAAGCTGGGCACAAGGCCGAATCTCCTGTGCCCCTCCTTTCTGTCCCTAAGTGCACTGTCCCCAGGGGCAGGCCTGGCAAGTTGACGCCATGATGGGGCAGTTCATCTGAGAACCTGCTTAGGCGTGTGGCGGCAGCTGGTGCTGAGAACAAGCCCTTGCCTGCCCTATTGCACCCTCTGCCCCAGCCCTCAGAGCAGGAAGGGAAAGCAGCCTGCCAGCCCTGCCAGGAGGGTCCCTGAGGGGGCACAGGCCCTCCCCTCCATTTTTGGCAATGTTTGTTTACAAGAAGCCAAACAGCTCAGCCGGGTACCTGGTGTTTCACAGTGCTCACCACCTCAGCAAATGCAGAGCAGGAAGCAATGCTCAGGATCCACAGGTCAGGGGAGGTGGTGTCCCATTCCTGTCCTCAGCCTGCTCTGAGGCCTCCACCTTCTCCCAGCCCCTCTGTGATACAGTGGCGATGCCCACACTCTCCTTTCCTGATAGAACACTTGAAGGACTGGAGGCCTGTGGTGTGGGATGCCCCTGGATGTGTGGCACCCACTGTGGTGCCTGTCAGCCCATCTGGGTAAAGGTGCAGGTGGAAAGATGATGGCCCGATGCTGGGCTGTGGGCCCCACATGGCCTTGCTCTCCTCATCCTCTGCTGTACAGCTTCCCCAGGTGGTGGTTTGGGTTTTCGCTCCAGCCTCAGACTTCCTTCCCCACCCCAGCCTCCGGATGTGGTGACAGAACCGACACTACCGACCTCAGCAGCCCCCAGGAGCTGTGTGTGTGTGTGTGTGTGTGTGTGTGTGTGTGTGTGTGTGTGTCCGTCCTACTAGGCCTTGGCCTGTCAGGGAGGGGCAGATCCTGGGCAAGTCATTGCTGTCCCAGGCCTGGGCTCCCTTTGTACAAACAGGAGCGCTAGCTGGTGAGAATTTTAAGTCGGCCCTTTTGGGGCTGGACATGTTCTAGACAATGCCTGTCCTGCATGCAAGTCCTCAACAGATGCTTGCTGGGTGACAAACTAATGAACAAACCCACCCAAACCTCTTCTCTGCAAATTAAGAGTGACAGCCACAATTTACTGAAGTTGAGCTGTTGCAGGTGCTTCCATACCATCATCAGTCCCACAGACCCCTGCAGTCAGTCCTATTTCGTGCCACCTAACAGTGGGGAGTCTCGGGCTCATGGGAGGGAAATGGTCCAGCTAACACTGCACAGATGCGGGCATATGCCTCCAGGACATTGTCAGTCTCTGTGAAGGGATGTTGCTGTGTGGGCTCCCTTCCAGGCCCCCAGCCCTCTAGCACTCCAGGACCCTGGGCGTCAGTGGAAGGAAATGACACACCAGCTGACCCCTTGCACCTTGCCTGGGCGCGGAGGGCAGACCAGAGGCAAGGTGGCACCACCTTCCCCATCGCATCAGTGGAGTTAACAGCTGTGCACAGCAGCACCCCTTCCCGAAGTTGGCGCTACCCCGAGACAGGGAAGCCGAGCCCGGAAAGCAGGCAGGACCTGACACCCTGCTTCCGACCCTCTTGCCTGCGGTGGGCGCCGGATGCAGGCCAGCCAAAGCGGCACCTCCGTGGAAGACCAAGTGCCTAGTAGCCCTATTCCCACGCCTTGCGGTGGGCGAGGTCGACTCGGCCCTCGCTGTCAGCTCAGGGGAAAAAAAGCTAACTTCCCAGTCTAGGGAGGAATCAGCCAGCCAGACACCTAATCTGCCACCCTGGGGCCCTCCATCCGATTGGGGGAGGTCCCGCCCCCAACTTGGAGGCGCCGGACCCGCCCCCTTCTTCCGCCCCCGGCCCCTTGGCAGGCACCGCCCCTCCCGACGTCACCAGGGCTCGCGCCGATTGGCCGACTGCGCAGTCGCTCCGGACACTTCCTCCTGGGCCGCCGCCGCGGACTTAAACTTTGAAGGGGGAAAAAAGAGCCACCCACGCTGTGCGACCACCCTTGCCCCCCCGCCCCACCCTGCCTCCGGTAACGCCCTTGCCTCGCAGCCTCCGACCAAACTTGTCTCCAACTTCTGCGACCCGTGAGATTCCCTCCTTTCTACCCTGGCCCTGGGGACCTCTCTGCCCATCCTTGAGCCAGGAGGATCCCTGGGAACCACTTGATCCCAAACTCAGACTCCAGCCCTCCGCTCCCGAGGTGGCGAATTTGTCGGGCCTTCTTCGAGAAATCTTGGTCTCAGAGGCAGTAGATTATGGGGCTCCCTTGCTCCCCTCTCAATCCCTTCTCTGTCCAAGGGGCCTTTGGATCGCGGGGTCTTTGATCCATGTAACCCAGACTTGCTAGATTTTCCTCTCTGATTTCTTGCAATTTCGCAGTTGCTAGGTTTCCAGTCCATTTCTTTCTCCTTTCTGATATGTGATCCCTTGATTCCGACTGTGTGATCCACTGCAGTCCTTTTCTCTCGTTTCCCAGGATTTTGCCTTTCTCGGTCCCTCGGTCCCTACCGGCTTTCTCTTCTGGGACCCTTGCGCTCCTTCCATAACCCCACGAGCTCCCTCGGCTCAAGGACTCGGGTTCCCCGGGCTCTCCAGCCGGATTTGGGCGGCGGGCGGCGGGTCCAGGCCTGCCCCCATGGCCGCCGCCCCCTCCCATCCCGCGGGGCTCCCGGGCTCCCCCCGGCCCGGGTCTCCTCTCCCCACCAGCGGCTTGGAGTTACACTTGCCGCCACAGCCGCTGGCGCTCCAGGCCCCGGCTCCCGGGGTCTCCTTCCACATCCAGATCGGCCTAACCCGCGAGTTCGTGCTGTTGCCTGCCGCCTCTGAGCTGGCTCATGTGAAGCAACTGGCTTGTTCCATCGTGGACCAGAAGGTGAGCGTCTTGGGCTCCCCATCCGGCTTGGGGACGGGTCCCAGGAGGGATGTCTGACAGAGGAAGCCTGCAGCCTGACCTACGGGAGGGAGGGAGGGATGGCCTCTGGGCAACTTGGAGGCCTTGGCCCCCAAGTCCTCCTCACCCCACCACCCATTTGAGGGAGGCCCCAGCAGGGGTGGGGTGCTACAAGAGGCCTCCCCAAATTACATGTCCTTGCATGTTGTTCGTTTCTGGAGCCAGCAGCAAGAAAGGGAGGTACCTGCTAAGTGTAAAGTGGGGAGGAAGGGGCAGGTAGGGGCAGCAGATAAGGAGGACCTCCCCTCTAGGCCCATCTCGGGCCTCCCATTTGGTGGAAACAGTAGAAATTGAAGCCGGACTGGCCGTGGTGATCGGGTGACATGTGTAGGT